ATTGGGCTTGAAACGTGTGAAACGGGCTTCAGAAACGGCTTCGGGTCGACCGGACCGTTCGGACGGTGGGTCGGGACGTTCGGCCGGCTGTCGAGTCGTAGTCTGCTATCGGCACGGTCGTGTCGATCGTGGCCGAGAGTTTTCGCGTTCGTTCATCGGGTTCGGCCGGGTGGATAGATTCGCCGAAGGTTTTCGGGCCGGACATGGGACGTGGCCTTCCTGGTCGGACGGTGCGATCGGCCGCGGTACGTGAGTTGTGCCGCGCGGCCACAAGGCGTTGTACGGTCGTGCGCAGCTTCGGGCGTGTGATTCTGGTTTGGCTGACCGCGGGACGATGCGTCCTGGATCGGTACGTGGGCCCGGCTGTGGACTTGGCGGGACGGACGAATGTTCGGATGTTGGCCGACCACGGGACGGATGTTCCTCGGCCGGCTGTTCCGGTTTCTCGAAGGAGCCGGCTGGACCAGTCTTTCCGTATTTTGGTTAATCTGGAAGTACTTTACTTTTTTTCGGCTTGCTAAGGGATTCTCTTGTTCGGGATAGAGGACGGGGTGCTTGGGTCCAGAATTTTCTTTGCTATTTTGACCATAACTCGTTTTCTACTCATCCAAATGATGTCAATCCAATTGCGTTGGAGAGTTAACTCACTCAGAGCACGCGGGGAACTGGTCTTGATGAAATCCATTGAGTAGATCTCTTTTTAGCTCCTCCCAAAGTAGAATCTGTGACAGTGGACTGGTTTGAAGTCCAAATCCTCTGTTTTGCTCCATAATGCACCTTTTGACTTAAAATGACTCTTTGCGGTATAATCCATAAAAAATAACTTTATAGACAAGAATCCACTAGAAAACCATTAGAAAATCATAGTAAAATAGTATAAAAAGCATGTGAAATAGAGGTATATCACTTTCACCGGGACGGTGCAAGTTAAGTCTGGGGGGAGTTTTATTGTGTTACTAATGCATTTTTCTTTCTTTTCTTATGTTTTATTTTTGTTTCATGTTTTTCAAAAAGTTTTATTGAGTCAAAAACCAGTCCGGAAGTTATGAACTTGCTTTGAGAATTGATAGTGTTATGCTAACAATCCATGACCCTAGAGCAGACATCAGCTAAAGGCACAAGCCTAACAGAAGCTCTTACAGTGGATCGACATGCTAGCTCAGCAAAATTTCTAAGGTAACCAAGCAATCTAGAGTTAACCTCACCCTTAATCAATCTTAATAACTCTTGTCAAGGGGATTGGCATACATGTCGACAGTTCCTTGCTTGATTTTCAATAAGATTTGTCTAATCTTAAAAGTTCTCCTCTCTCTCCCATCCCAAATGGTAAGTAATGTTTATGAGAAAAGCTCAAAGAGCACAAGGAAAACAAGTAAGCATGAGGAATGCATATGTCTGTACCTTCATGTCTTATGGAATACCTTAGTCAAACAAGGAACAAGCTAAAGACTTATCCTGTGGTTGAAAGAAGGGTCAATAGAAAAAATAAAATGATACCCTAGAAAAGTAGGGAGAAATTGACCTTTCAAAGTTCTGATGTGAGAAAGAGAGAGGAAAAGAACTCATTGCACTTCAAAGACAATCTTGGAGAAGATCAAGTGGGTAAGAACAAGTTCAATTGATCGATATTCCCTTGATAAAGAACTCACGCTTTAAATTTTATGCAAGAGGTTAGCAATAGAGAGTTTGGATTGCTGGATGAGACTAGTTGAGTTGGTATTGTTCGCTAAACTTGCAGGGTGTATGTGAAGCTAACCTTATGTTGCCTATGTTCTTAGTGGAATACAGGAAAGGAACCCTTCACAGGATATTCAAAGAGCAAGGGAGTTTCCACGTTTTCAAACCTCTTTCACGGATTTAGATTCTGTTTGCTTGGGGACAAGCAAAGATCTAAGTCTGGGGGAGTGATGTACTTGCATTTTACATAGTTTTAGTACATCTTTTATGCATCTTTTGCATAGTTTTAGCATCCATTAGCATCATATCTTGTTCCTTTTCTCTTCTTATGCATTCATAGTAGTTTTAGGTTGCATTTGCATACATATGCATGTTTGGTCCTTTGAAATAGGTCTTTTGGAGCACTTTGGAGCATATGGGACGTGAGGAGCAAGGAAGGACTTGGTGCATGGACGCAGCTCAACTGGACACGCAAAGGAAGAAGGAGGAAGCCATCTTGAAGACCAGCTCGACCACCTACTCGACCGGCCAAGCTTCAACTCGATCGAGCTGAGAAGTCAACAGTCAAACCCGAAAAATGTTGCTTCCCCCTTGACTTCCCTTTGACCCTAAACCTAATCTCCTTTGTATTTAAAGGCTCTAAGCCACGAAAAAACAACAATCTTTAGCTTATTTTGTTTTAGCTTTTCTTTTAATTATTGTCTTTTACTTTTTGCAACCCTAACCTCTCTTTGTGTTCTTGAGCTCTTGCTCTTGAATCCTAGATCTGGATTTCTTTTGTATTTGCACTTGCTTATTTCAATAAAAGTTGTTTATCTTTATCTCCTCTTTCATTTAATGTCTTTTCATTGCATTTGCTTGTGTTTACATTCATGTGTAGTGAGTAGTTCCCATTAGGGTTTGAGATGGGCTAGATTAGGGGATCTTTATGCTTAATCCTTCTTGCTTATGTTCTTAATCTAGAAATCTCTCTCTTTTGGAAATCCTTAAGGCTACATGACCACTACCCCTGGCTTGTATGTCCATAGGCGATTCTCCACATGGAAGTGATGGAAATCGCTTGGAAAAGGTCCACTAAGAGCTCCAATAACTCTTGCTCTCGAAATGGAGTTCATAGGGGTTGGATGGATTAGTTTGAGCAATGATCCTATGGCCTCCAAGGCTTGATTCTCACTGGCTAACCCCCTATCAAGAGATACCTTGATACAAGTTGTTTGAGAGCAAGATTGATTAAGTATAGCTTCCCTGATTGTAAGACCCTGTCTTAGACCCTAATATTCGCATTAGCTTGTTAAAGTTCGCTGCCTTTATCGCTTTTTACTCGACTAACTCGACCCTCAACTCGACTCGAGTCCTTGGTCGAGCTGCTTGCTTTACTGCTTTATTTACTTATTGCATTGCATTTCATTTCATTAGGTTGTTAGTGTTACACCCTATTTTACTTTGCTTGACTTCCTTGTGTTTCATATCTCATAGAGTAACAATTTCACCCTTTTGGATTGATACCCTTATACTTCAATGACTATGATGGTTAAGGGAATTGATTGATTGTGATTGTGTTTGCATCATACCACCTCATCTTCATATACCACTGTTGCATTCCACCTCATTACATTTCATATCATATCATCACATCACACACAAATCCTATCATCAATTTGGCGCCGTTGCCGATTTGGGTTGATATTGTTGCATTTGAGTTTCAAATACACTTGGACGATCAAGCTATACCACCCCTGTTCTTTGTATTGCTGGGTTTTTGTTCTTTTTGCAGGTGTATGCGAACTCGATCGAGTCGGTCTACAGAAGACTTGGTCGAGCTAGACTTTCACACGGGTAGAAAGAGAAGTTCAGAGGACTCAGAGGGTACAAGAGGAACCTGAGGTGCTTGTTACTGATACAATGGATGTACCAGAGGGGAATGGAAACCCTTTGGGCAATGGACTCGGTCGAGCTAGGCAAACTCGACCGATTGGTCTAGGAGATGCTCCAAACCGCCACCAACAGAGACAAGGGATTGTTCCACCACCAGTGCAGAACCACAACTTTGAGATCAAGCTGGGAATGATCAACCTTGTTCAGAACAAGATGTTCCATGGATTGCCAAGTGAAGACCCCATTGACCACCTTGATGAGTTTGATAGGCTTTGTGATTTGACAAAGATCAATGGTGTCTCTGAAGATGCCATCAAGCTGAGACTCTTTCCTATGTCTCTAGCTGACAAAGCTCACCAATGGGAGAAGAGCTTGCCCCATGGCACAATCACCACTTGGGATGAATGCAAGAAGGCCTTTCTTGCTAAGTTTTTCTCCACGGTCGCATGATGTGGAGTCAGGTTTTACCAAACTCCTAGACCTCTGCAAGTGCACAGATCGCGGAAGTATGGGTATCGAACACAAGGACTGGCTATTGAGTACACTTTGTAACTATGGATTTTGGATCAAGCTAAAACAAAAGTATGATTGAGGTTGTAATGGTGAACCGAACTAGCAAGTATAACGAGGTTGTAAACAATAAAGGAAAAGCGCTAGGTCATAGGGGCTATCGCAGAGAAGCAAGCAATGATCAATGAAACAATGATAGATGAATTGATTAGGGATATTGGGATATTAAGAACCATCTAGAACACAGATCACGAATATAAAACCATTCCACTTTCGAGGCTCCGGCTCCTTTGTTAATCTACCTAGTCGCTAAACTTTTGGTATGTCCCTAGGTGATTAAATCAAGCATTAGAATGAATAGGTTCTGATACAGTTCACTAGATATAGTAGATCAACTTTCGCAGTCTAAGAAACCTAGCTTGTCAAAGAATATGTCCGGCGAATGATACAACACTGTCGAGGCTCAAATCAACCTAAGATCGGATTACTAGATGCGCGGTAAAGCAATCAGCATTAGTTAAGTGCACAAGACGAGACAAAGACTCTAATATAATCCCTAGCTAATCATTGAAATCAAAGATCATGCAAGCAACTCATTGAATAGTAACCCTAGCAACCTAACTAGTGGATTACTCAGACATGATCAAAGCAAACACACATAGAGATGAAGAAAACATGATTGCAATAAAACTTAGAGTAGGAAATCGAAATACAAGGGCGGCTCTCTTTTCACAAGAGGCTAAAAAGCTATATATATAGTGCTAGGTCTTTTAGAGGCGGCTTAGGGTTAAGCCGGGCTTGAAAATATGAAACGGGCTTCAAAACGGGCTTCGGGTCGACCGCGGCGTTGGGACGGTCGGTCGGGACGATCGGTCGGCCGTCTGTCGAGTCGGAACGGTCGTGGCCGGACGGATTCGTGGTCGGCCGGCTGTGGTCGGACGGTGAAGATTTGGCCGATGTTTCTCGGCCGGACGCGGGACGTCTTCCCGGCTCGGACGGCGCATCGGCCGTGGTACGCGAGAAGGTTGCGCGGCCGCGAGGCTTGCTTCCCGGCTCGCGCGCATGGTCGTGCGCGGCTGGCGTGAGCGTTGTGGTGGCCGACCGCGGGACATTGTTTCCCGGGTCGTGATGCGTGATCGGCCGGACGGTTTGGAACTTTGGCCGAGACTTCAGACGGACGGATGTGATTTGGCCGAGCGGAACGTTCGTTCCTCGGCCAGCCGGACTGCGCGGTTGGGCGCTGATTCTCGATAGAGCCGTCTGGACAGTCTTCACTCTTTTGGTTGTAACTCCTTTTCTACTCATCCAAATAGGCCGTTCCAGTTGCGTTGGAAAGTTAACTCAATCAGAGCACGCAGGGAACTGGTCTTGATGAAATCCATTGAGTAGATCTTTTTCTGGGCCCTCTTAAAGTTGGTGCTTGTGCATGGAGCGGCTTGAAGTGCAAATCCTATGGTTTTGCTCCAAAATGCATCATTTCACCTGTTTAGACTCTAGACACTATAAACACAGTAAAACTACCTTTTTAGATAGAAAACCTGCCAAAAACCATTAGAAAACAATGCTAAAACAGTATAAAAAGCATGTAAAATAGAGGTATATCAACTCCCCCAGACTTAGATCTTTGCTTGTCCCCAAGCAAAAAGAATCTAAATCCGTGAAAGAGGTTTGAAAACGTGGAACTCCCTTGCTCTTTTGAATATCCTGTGAAAGGTTCCTTTCCTGTATTCCACTAAGAACATAGACAACATAAGGTTAGCTTCACATACACCCTGCAAGTTTAGCGAACAATACCAACCCAACTAGTCTCATCCAGCAATCCAAACTCTCTATTGCTAACCTCTTGCATAAATTTAAAGCGTGAATTCTTTATCAAGGGGACATCGATCAATTGAACTTGTTCTTACCCACTTGATCTTCTCCAAGATTGTCTTTAAGTGCAATGAGTTCTTTTCCTCTCTCTTTCTCACATCAGAACTTTGAAAGGTCAATTTCTCCCTACTTTTCTAGGGTATCATTTTATTTTTTCTATTGACCCTTCTTTCAACCACAGGATAAGTCTTTAGCTTGTTCCTTGTTTGACTAAGGTATTCCATAAGACATGAAGGTACAGACATATGCATTCCTCATGCTTACTTGTTTTCCTTGTGCTCTTTGAGCTTTTTCTCATAAACATTACTTACCATTTGGGATGGGAGAGAGAGGAGAACTCTTTAAAGATTAGACAAATCTTATTGAAAATCAAGCAAGGAACTGTCGACATGTATGCCAATCCCCTTGACAAGAGTATTAAGATTGATTAAGGGTGAGGTTAACTCTAGATTGCTTGGTTACCTTAGATTTTGCTGAGCTAGCATGTCGATCCACTGTAAGAGCTTCTGTTAGGCTTGTGCCTTTAGCTGGTTTCTGCTCTAGGGTCATGGATTGTTAGCACAACACTCTCAATTCTCAAAGCAAGTTCATAACTTCCGGACTGGTTTTTGACTCAATAAAACTTTTTGAAAAACATGAAACAAAGTGAATAAAACATAAGAAAAGAAAGAAAAATGCATTAGTAACACAATAAAACTCCCCCCAGACTTAACTTGCACCGTCCCGGTGAAAGCAAATCACATTAAGGTGAGAGGTAATATTCAAAGTAAAAGAAAAATAAAAAGAAATTCATTAAAATGAGATAGGGATAGAAAATGGAGATTTGTAAGTGTCCATTGCACTAAGTACCACTTGAGATGACTATGTGTGGCAGTGAGAAGAACTCTCTTCCTCATCTATGGGGTCATCGCCTTCTGAACCAAGCTCTGAGTCTAGTGAGAACTCACCAAGGTCAGGCTCATATGGCTCTCTAGCGGTGGAAGAAGGGCGAAAGAGTCTCTCCGGTGCAATGTGGCGAACTACACGAACTAGGCGTGAGATGAAGCGAGATTGGCATTCCACTATCTTCTCCAGCTTGTTAACACGGTCTAGAGCTTGGTGCGCGGCCATGCCAGTAGTGAGAACATGGCGTTCTTGGTGGCGGCGTTGAGTCTTGACTGCATGCTGAAGTGTGCGATAGGTGAGCATGGGGAATGATGGTTTCTCACTTGATGGAACATAGAAGTCTTCCTCATTGGGCTGGAAAGTGACAACAGCGTAGGCTTGGGATGCATGTGGCAGGACTTGGGGATAGTTGGGTCTTTAGTCCAACGGTTTAGGAAGTGGATGTGCTGAAGAGCATGGAGATCCAAAGGGGTTGGCTTGGGTAGTGGCTCATAGTTGGGAATGTCAATCCCCACATGTTGTACTATGGCCGTGATAAGCCTCCCAAAACGAACACAAAGCTTCTTGTTGCCTTCCAAGTCTTGAGCTAGCTTCCTCACATTGATGAATGTCTTGGCAAGTAAAAGTCCAAGGTTGGCCTTGTACTCATGCTTGATGAATGGTGTGGTGAGGATGTAGAACTCATCAGTTGTGACCTTGTTGGCTTCTTGTTTGCATTGGAAAGTGGTGGAGATGAGGCGGTGCACATAGCGAATGGCTGGATGAGTGATTCTAGACACCTTTGACCTTGAAGGCAAGAATGGTTCATTGGCAAAGTGTGTCCAATCAGCAAAGGCAGCTTGTTTCCTCTTTGAGTTCTCCTTGAAGTCATGTGCTGTCTCATTGGGAAGTCCAAAGAGTTGGCATAGAGCTGAGATGGAGATGCGCCCATTGGCATCGCCTATCTTGAAGAGTAGGAGTCCATCACCAGCTGGTTGGTCTCCATTGTGGTTGGGAAAGGCAAGAGCTACTGTGGAGAGGAACTCCTTGGTGAGTTGTGAGTACTCACTACTCTAGCTTGAAGAGCTTGCTCAAGCCTAGCTTCCTTATGTACCATGTGACATCATCTCTTATCTTGAGAAGGATCAAGGGTTTGGGTGTCCATCTTCACACAAGGTTCGATGTTCACCTTCTCCATTGCCTTCTTACACTTTCTTGGGTCTTGGATTTGTTCTCCAACAAAGGTTACAAGTGCCCAATCTTCTTCTCTTCTTGGACTCTCCACATGTTCTTGATTGCATCAATGGAATGTGGTGAAGTTGGTATTGCTGCTCTTGCATTGGAGCTACTACTCCCTAGCTTGATTTGTTTCTTTGGTGGTTCCATGAATGGGTTCTTCTTCTTCTTCATACTCTCATTTCCTTTTGTCTTTGCCATTGGTGTACCTACAAGAGCAAATTCTTGGGAAGAAATATGAGTTTGTGATTAATGCAAAAGAAGAATAAGCTAATTGAGTTGTAATAATGATATGGAATAATGGAACAACTCAAGGCTTAATCATGAATCAAAGAGACAAAACTTTTTCAAAGTTAATTTTCGGATTTTACTGTTCATCCCAAGATTATGGTGCTTAAAATCAAAATTTTTAGCAAATCAAGAGAAATTGAGTTTCTAATCCAAGTAATCACTAGATAAACTAATGAATTGAAGTATGCCTAAGCAATTTCACCTTTGAATAAGGGGTTTGGAATGCCCAATAAGTTTTGTGAAAAACTATTCAATTGTGAAATTAAACTTAAATAACTCTAAACCACCTAGGTTCCACCTAGCTAAGTTCATTACAAGACTAATAAGGATGCAATTTCAAGTTTAGACAAGAGTTTAGACCAAACAAGAAACTTATTGAATTTTCGATCTTGCATAAACATAGGATTAGAGTTAGAAGACATACCTTGTGTGTTGAAAAGTGAATAAGGTTGCAAGAGCAAGTAAATTCCAATTTAGAGTTATGAACAGTAAAAGTTTTGAAATCAAACTCTTAGAGTTCCTCTAATGGAGTTTAGGGTTTTGGAGAAGAAAGAGAGGTTCTTGTTGTTTTCAAGGGAAAGGTAAAGTAAATAAGATCTAATCCTATCAATTTTCCTTTTCAAATTCGAATTTTGATTGAAAACCGGTTTAAGTTGGTTTAGATTGGTTAAAACCGGTTTGAATTAAATGAAAAGGGGACTTACCTTGGCCAGAAAAGTTTGGGCCGATGGCCGATGGATTTGTCGCGGTCGAGCGATTTGGTCGGCCAAATTCGTTGGCCGAGAGATTTCGGCCGAGGCCGATCGTTTGTTTCCCGGATCGACCGGCACGGTCGGTCCGTTCCGATACGAATCGGCCGATCGCGGCCGTTCTTCTCTGTTCGTGCGTGCCGCGCGAACGGTTCTGTCGCGTAAACAATCCGGCCGAGCAAGCCGTTCCTTCCCGGCTCGACCGGACGGTCGGCCAGTTGGAAATTGCTCGGCCAAAATTTTTGCGCGTCCGCGGCCAATGTTTGGCGCGGATTGTGTTTTCACACCTTTTTCTCCTTCTATCCTATCTTAAAACAAAGAAAACACAAAAGCAAAACAAAAACTAAGAAATTAAAGAAAGAAAAGTAAAAGTACCTCATGGGTTGCCTCCCATGCAGCGCTTGTTTTAAGTCTTTAGCTTGACTGTAAGGCTTGGCGCTCAGGAGAAGATGGAGACAAGAGGCATCTTTGATCCTCCAAGTCTTTTCTCCTTGCAATGAGTATCTGGTGGGTGATTCACAGCTGGATAGACAATCTCTCCATGAATGTCCCTTGGCACTACTGCCTTAGGAAAAAGCTTTAGAGTTCTTGTCACTTTCTCCTTGAATCCTTCTAGATTCTCATCAATAAGCTCCTTTGGGAATAGAAGCTTCATGTTGCGGCCAGACCTAGGTTTTCTAACCTTCCTTCTTGGCTTGGCCTCATCTTCAATCTTGGTTGATCCCTTGGGCGGTTTTGGTGTAGGGGCCTTAGTCTTACTCCTTGCTTGTTTGGCAAGCTGCTTGGGCTTAGGAATGGGATCTTCCTTGATTGTTTCTTCAGTTTCTCCTTCTTGGGGTGGCTTCAAAGTAACTTTCTCCTCTTGGACCATGTCAACAAAAGAGTTCTTTGTTGAACACATAGGGAAGAACATACCCTTGTTCACCTTGTTGAAAGAGATTCTTTGATTGGGGAAATCAAATATGGCACCCACAGTAGACAGGAAAGGGGTTCCAAATATGAGAGGTCTATGGCTACTCTCTCTCATTTCCACAATCTGGAAATCAGTAGGGATAGAGCAATTTCCAATCTGCACCATCACATTAGGCACAAAGCCATAGGGGTTTGTGAGAATGAATCAGCATAGTTGATGGAGATGGATGATGGCTCTATCTTGGTGAGGCCTATCTTGTCAGCTATCCTCTTAGACATGATGTTCACATTGGCTCCTGTGTCACACAAAGATTGCTCAAGAATGTTACCTTTGATGATACAAGGCACACAAACTTTCCTGAGTTATCTGTCTTGGGGATAATCTTTGGGAAGAGTCTTCTCTTTCTAGCTCGATTGGACTCTCTCTCTGGGTAATTCTCTTCAGGCCAAATCATGCAATCAACAGTAGGTTTTGAAAGCATCCATTCTGGAACTTGGTCTTCAAATCTTTCTTCTATGGCGGCTGAGTTGCAAAAGGACTTCTTGGATTCAGCTTCCTGTCTCTTAACAGCTTCCATAGTTTGAGTGACTTGAGTCTCTAGTTTCTTCACATGAGTGGCAACAGCATCATACTTGGTGTTGAGATTGCTGAACAAAGTGTCCATCTTCTCATACATCTCTTTAGTGTTTCTCTTCTGGCCATCCATGATCTGTTGGAGGATTCCTTCAAATCTCCCACCTTGTTGGTTTGGAGGAGCTTGATTTGGTGAAGAAGCATATGGCTCCTTGGGCGGATATGATGATCTCTGCTCATATCCTTGCCTTGGCTGAAATTGACTTCCTTGAGATTGGTAAGGAGGTCTTTGTTGTTGTGGATACCTTGGAGGATACACTTGGTCTTGAGGATTCTCCACATTGGGGTTTCTATAAGACATGTTGGGGTTTGGGCGATAGCTTGGACTTATAGATTCCTTGTAGATTAGGACCACAAGATGCTATTAAGATCTTCCTCCAATTGTATAAATAGGATGTTGTATAGATTTGTAAAGATAACTTTGATATTGAATAAACCTTAAGCTTTTGTAGCCAAACAAGCTTTTCATAGCACGGGAAAGAGTATTCCCAACCTCTATCGAGCTTTCATAGCACGGGGAAGAGTATTCCAAACCTATTGATCTAAACGTAGATCTTCTACGTTTATTTCAAACCCGATTATACACAAATCTTGTGTATCTTCGTTATCTAGCTTCCGCCTCTCCATCAAGATCTAACATCTGTTCGATCGATGCTACTATGTGTATTAACTGCTGTCGAGGAAGACTCTTCAGAAATTTCTTAACCAACTTCGGTTCCTCGATTGTTTCACCTAGAGCAGCTGACTTTGATGCGATTTCAGCTAGCTTTCCTCCAAAATCGTCGATGGTCTCGGTTTTTTTCATCCTAAGACGCTTGAATTCTGACATCAAAGTTTGTAGCCTAGCCTCTTTCAATCTTTATGCCCCTACGTTTCTTGTTTTAATGGCTTCACACACCTTTTTAGCTGTCTTCAGCTCACCGACTTGTAGAACAATCGCTTCTGGTATGGATGATGTGGAGTCAGGTTTTACCAAACTCCTAGACCTCTGCAAGTGCACAGATCGCGGAAGTATGGGTATCGAACACAAGGACTGGCTATTGAGTACACTTTGAAACTATGGATTTTGGATCAAGCTAAAACAAAAGTATGGTTTGAGGTTGTAATGGTGAACCGAACTAGCAAGTATAACGAGGTTGTAAACAATAAGGAGGAAAGCGCTAGGTCATAGGGGCTATCGCAGAGAAGCAAGCAATGATCAATGAAACAATGATAGATGAATTGATTAGGGATGTTGGGATATTAAGAACCGTCTAGAACACAGATCACGAATATAAAACCATTCCACTTTCGAGGCTCCGGCTCCTTTGTTAATCTACCTAGTCGCTAAACTTTTGGTATGTCCCTAGGTGATTAAATCAAGCTTTAGAATGAATAGGTTCTGATACAGTTCACTAGATATATAGATCAACTTTCGCAGTCTAAGAAACCTAGCTTGTCAAAGAATATGTCCGGCGAATGATACAACACTGTCGAGGCTCAAATCAACCTAAGATCGGATTACTAGATGCGCGGTAAAGCAATCAGCATTAGTTAAGTGCACAAGACGAGACAAAGACTCTAATATAATCCCTAGCTAATCATCGAAATCAAAGATCATGCAAGCAACTCATTGAATAGTAACCCTAGCAACCTAACTAGTGGATTACTCAGACATGATCAAAGCAAACACACATAGAGATGAAGAAAACATGATTGCAATAAAACTTAGAGTAGGAAATCGAAATACAAGGGCGGCTCTCTTTTCACAAGAGGCTAAAAAGCTATATATATAGTGCTAGGTCTTAGAGGCGGCTTAGGGTTAAGCCGGGCCTTGAAAATATGTGAAACGGGCTTCAAAACGGGCTTCGGGTCGACCGCGGCGTTCGGACGGTCGGTCGGGACGATCGGCCGGATGATCGGGTCATGGCCGCTCGTACGATCGGAACGGTCGTGGCCGGACGGATTCGTGGTCGGCCGCTGTGGTCGGACGGGTGAAGATTGGCCGATGCTTTCTCGGCCGGACGCGGGACGTAGCTTCCCGGCTCGGACGGCGCCATCGGCCGTGGTACGCGAGAAGGTTGCGCGGCCGCGAGGCTTTGCTTCCCGGCTCGCGCGGCATGGTCGTGCGCGGCATGGCGTGAGCGTTGTGGCCGACCGCGGGACATTGTTTCCCGGGTCGTGATGCGATCGGCCGGAGGTTTGAACTTTGGCCGAGACTTCAGACGGACGGATGTGATTTGGCCGAGCGTGAAACGTTCTCTCGGCCAGCCGGCTGCGCGGTTTGGGCGCTGATTCTCGATAGAGCCGTCTGGACCAGTCTTCACTCTTTTGGTTATAACTCCTTTTCTACTCATCCAAATGAGGCCGTTCCAGTTGCGTTGGAAAGTTAACTCAATCAGAGCACGCAGGGAACTGGTCTTGATGAAATCCATTGAGTAGATCTTTTTCTGGGCCCTCTTAAAGTTGATGCTTGTGCATGGAGCGGCTTGAAGTGCAAATCCTATGGTTTTGCTCCAAAATGCATCATTTCACCTGTTTAGACTCTAGACACTATAAACACAGTAAAACTACCTTTTTAGATAGAAAACCTGCCAAAAACCATTAGAAAACAATACTAAAACAGTATAAAAAGCATGTAAAATAGAGGTATATCATCGCACAGCCAAGCTGAGGAGTGAGATCTCGAGCTTCATACAGAGGAACAATGAGACTTTTGCTGATGCTTAGGAGAGGTTCAAAGGGTACACAAGTCAGTGCCCCCATCATGGCTTCCACAATGAGTCTTAGCTCTCTACTCTTTATAGAGGTTGCTTGGCAAGGTACAGAGATATGTTGGACACAGCCAGCAATGGGAACTTCCTCAATCAGGATGTTGATGATGGCTGGCAGCTTGTGGAAAACATTGCAAACTCCAATGGAAGCTATGGAGAAGAGTATGATCGCACCAACCGGAGCTCGACCCACCACTCGATCGAGTCGGATGAGAAATACTTCGGATGGTATGAAAGGTATGAATATCTTGCTCGCATAAACCGGGCCTTTATTGCCTGGCACTACTCTCTAATTTGATAACTTGAGAAAAGATGTCAAATCGTTAAATGAGAAGTTGGATAAGCTTATCTTAGCTCAGTCCACAATGAAGAAGGTCAATTTTGTGTCTGCTGAAGAGATGGAACCAGTCCAAGAAGGGGAGGATACACAATTTGTTGAAGTGTGTTACATGAGCAATGGGCAGGGAGGTTACAACAAAGGATACTATAATTACAAGTCCAACCCAGCCATGTCAAACCGAAACACTGATGCTGCTAACCCTCAGGACCAGGTTTATCCTCAACAAGAGCAAGCCCGATCGAGTCAAGCCCTAAAAACAACTACCAAGGCGTTGATACTGGAAAAGGGTTTCGACTTTCTCTTGCACTTGATCTTGTACTCAATCTTCCCATTTGTGAACTTGGATGGCAACAGAGTCAGGGTAAGCTGGGATGGAGTGCTTGAGAGAGTCTGAGGCGTGATCATCTTTCTTTTATGTCCATGAGACGCCTTCAAAGCCATACCCTCCCCATCTTTTTAAGCAAAACTGCAAGACCCATCTCATCCAGAACACAAGGTTCACAAATAACTGGCTCTGTGCTGCTCACAGTCATAATCTCCATCTTTTCAACCTCAGCAAACTCACTCATCACCTTGATGCTCAGCGACTTAGTGGCAATGGTTCCACAATATTTAGAGCTTGATGCCTTGAGAGGGTAAGAGACTTTGCTGTTGACATTGTGCAGATCACTTTCTTTGTATGGAAATCAATGGAGGCACCAACAGTGGTGAGGAAAGGTGTCCCTAAGATCAATGGCACATCCTTCTCGTCAACCATATCCAGAACTGTTAGATCAATTGGGATTGTGCACTCTCCAATTCTCAAAGGGAAATCCATGACAATACCAAGTGGGGCTTTAGAAGAAGCATCCCCAAACATGATAGAAGACTTAGGTCGCTGGATCAGACTCTGTATACCCAATTTCTGTATTAGAACAAGAGAGATCAGATTGATACTTTGCTCCAGAATCAACAAGTGCATCCTCAAGTTGTAGGTGACCAAGTGTACAAGGCAGAGTGAAGCTTCCCTGACCATTCAGCTTGGGTAGTGAGGTTGGTGTGGATAAGAGATCACCCTGGGAAGAAGAGGGCTCCAAAAGCTGAGCTACTTCGTCCTTGTTATCAAGTATGTCCTTAATCATCTTCTTTTGGACATGAGCAGCTTGAAAACTTCCCATATTTGGTAGCTCAACCCCAATCTTACTCATGTCATTCCTAAACTTGGTGATGACTTTTTTCTGATTCTTGGTAAGGATTCTACTTGGAAATGGAACAGGGGGCTTGTAGGTGTCATCATCAGATGGTGTTGGAGCATAAAGCATCTGACTCGATCGAGCTGGTGAGACGGTCTGGCTCGATCGAGCTGCCAATCGAGCTTGTTGTGCGAGCTCAACCGGTGAAGCGTGGATAGCTATCTGAGGAGCTTGCACTTCAGGTTGAGCGTACTGGACTCCAGGAGCATCAGCAACAACATTGTCTTCATTATTAAGCAGCATACAGATCTCCTCAATATCCTTCTCATTAGCAGCTTGTTGATCAAATCCTTCCTCTTGAGTGAAGATCGCTCTACAATGCTCCTTTGGATTCTGAACAGCCTTTCCAGGAAATTGACCTTGCTTAGCAGCAGAAGAAGAAGCATGGTGTTCCAAAGAGTGAACTCTAGTGTTCAAGGATTCAATCTTAGAGTTCATCTCAGCCAACTTCTTGCTTGTCTCCATAGCACCATCTGCTTGACCTTGTAAGAGCTGCTTCAACATGGCTTTTATTTCTTGTTCCTGACTTGGTGAAGCCTGAGGCGCTTGAGGTGCATACCCAGTTGGTACACTCTGCTGTTGTCCTTGATAATTTCCCTGATGGCCCTGGAAATTCCCTTTCTGACCATATCCTTGCTGTGGAGGCTGACTCGCTGGAGCTGTTGCTGCGGAGGGTAGACTTGATCTTGAGGATTGGCAACATCAGTGTTACTGTAGGACATGGTAGGGTGTGACTTGTAGCCATAGTAACCGTTTTGATAACCTCCTTGTCCATTCTTAATGTAGCACACTTCAGCAAACTGATTCTCCTCCTCTTCTTGGCCTTGAACCATCTCTTCTTTAGAAACAAAGTTGGCCTTCTTCATTGTGGATTGAGCTAAGATAAGCGTATCCAACTTCTCATTGAGTGCCTTGACATCGTTTCTCAGCTTACTATCAGACTCGATCGAGTTGGAGGTCGAGCTCCTGTTTGTGCGATCATACTCCTCTCCATAGCTCCCACTTGAGTTAGCAATGTTCTCCACAAGCTGCCAGCCATCATCTACATCTTGATTGAGGAAGTTTCCATTACTGGCTGTGTCCAACATCTCTTTGTATCTTGGCAAAACTCCTCTGTAAAGTGTGGAAAGCAAAGACTCATTGCTGAAGCCATGATGAGGGCATTGACTGGTGTAACCCTTGAATCTCTCCCAAGCTTCAGCAAATGTCTCATTGTTCCTTTGAGTGAAACCAGATATCTCGCTTCTCAGCTTAGCAGTGCGACCAGTAGAGAAGAACTTGGCAAGAAATGCCTTCTTGCAATCCTCCCATGTAGTGATTGATCCATGGGGTAAACTCTTCTCCCATTGATGGGCCTTGTCACCAAGAGACATAGGGAAGAGTCTCAGCTTGATGGCATCTTCAGAGACACCATTCATCTTGGTCAGATCACACAGCCTATCAAACTCATCCAAGTGATCAATGGGATCTTCACAAGACAATCCATGGAACATCTTGTTCTGGACTAAGGTAATCATCCCCAGCTTGATCTCGAAATTGTGGTTCTGGACAGGAGGTGGGACAATCCCTCTTCTTTGCTGGTGGCGGTTTGGTGCATCTCCAAGCCCAATCGGTCGAGTCTGCCTAGCTCGACCATTTCCATTACCCAGAGGGTTTCCATTACCCTCTGGTATATCCATAGTATCTGTAACAAGCACCTCTGACTGAACTTGTTGCCTCTGGCTCTTCTTTCTCTGTTTTCTGCCTATGTTGATGTCTAACTCGACCAAGTTCTCTGTTGATGAGCTCGATCGAGTTCACATACACCTGCAAAACAGTCAAAAACCCAGCAGTACAAGCAACAAAGGTGGGATAGTACTTGATCGTTCAAGTGATTTGGAAACTCAAATGCAACAGTAACAAACCCAAATGGCAACGGCGCCAAATTGATGATAGGATTTTAGTGATGTGAAGTGAATGAGGTGATATGAAATGAATGAGGTGGAATGCAACAGTGGTATATGAAGATGAAGTGGTACAATCACAATCAATCAATTCCTCTTAACCATCATAGTCATTGAAGTATAAGAGGTTATCAATCCATAAGGGTGAGATGTTGCTCTATGAGAATATGCAAACACAAGAAAGTCAAGCCAAATGATTAAAAGGAGGGATGTAACAACTAAACAACCTAATATAACGGAAATGCAATGCAGAAAGTAAAAGAAAGCAGCTAAATGCAAGAAATTAACAAGAACAAGCAGATGCAAGGGAGCTCGACCAAGAGCTCGATCGAGTTGATGAGCTCGACCAAGAGCTCGATCGAGTTGATGAGCTCGATCGAGTTTCGAGTTGGTGAGCTCGATCGAGTTGAGGGTCGAGTTGGTGTAAAAACAGAGGAAATGCAATGAAAAGCGATAAAGGTGCAAACTTTAAGATGCTAATGCGAAGATTAGGGTTAAAGACAGGGTTTTGCAGCTAAAGGGAGGCTATACTTAATCAGTCTTGCTCTTAAACAACTTGTATCAAGGTATCTCTTGATATTGAGCTTCTCAATGCCTAGCTAACCCTTTCCCAAGGTGAAAGCTATCAACCAAGACTTGATCTCAGAAACAGGGGGTTAGCCAGTGAGAATCAAGCCTTGGAGGCCATAGGATCATTGCTCAAACTAATCCATCCAACCCCTATGAACTCCATTTCGAGAGCAAGAGTTATTGGAGCTCTTAGTGGACCTTTTCCAACGATTTCCATCACTTCCATGTGGAGAATCGCCTATGGACATACAAGCCAGGGTAGTGGTCATGTAGCCTTAAGGTTTGTCCAAAAGAGAGAGATTTCTAGATTAAGAACATAAGCAAGAAGGATTAAGCATAAACAACCTCTAACCTATCCCATCTTAAGCCCTAAAGGGAACTACTCACTAACATGGTGAAATAAACAACCAAATGCAATGAATGAGACATCAAAAGATAGAGGAGATAAAGATAAACAACTTTTATTGAAATAAGCAAGTGCAAATACACAATAAAAGCCTAGATCTAGGGTTCTATGAGCAAGAGCTCAAGAACACAAAGAGAGGCTAAAAAGTAAAAAAGGGAAATGCAAATACAAGATTAAATAAAAGTTGAGCCAAAGCTATGTTTAATTCGTGGCTCAATGCCATTTATAGTAAAGCAAACTAGGTTTAGGGTCAAAGGGGAGTCAAAGGGAAGCAACATTTTTCGGGTTTGACTTTGACTCCTGGAAAAGCAGCTCGATCGAGTTGGAAACTGGCCGGTCGAGCTGGTGGGTCGAGTCCAACCAATATCGTCGTATCTTCTGAACCGCTGGTCCGAATGACATGAAACCACCTCCAGACGAAAGCTAACTCAATTATCCACAACTTCCAAGAAGAAGTCAGAGGCTGAATCGGAGTGGAAACCCTTCATTTGATACGATACTTCGGACGCATCTCACTAGCTCGACCGAGTGCGGGTCCGTACATGGGGCAGACAGAGTCTTTCCTTCCTCAACTAGTCTCCAGTGATAGGCAATGTTCCAATTAGCTCCAAATGACCTGATTAAGACATCAAACGTGCATATGTATGCAAATGCAAGCCTAAAACTACTATGTATGCAAAAGAAGAGAAAACATCAAGAATATGATGCTTGGAATGAAACTATGCAAAAGATGCATAAAAGAAGTACTAAAACTATGTAAAATGCAAGTATATCAGTCATCTTCACTCAAGAAGGTCTTGATGAAGAAGAGGATCAAGAGAGAGTCATGAAGAGTTTTGTTTGCTGCTGAATGACGACGAGATTGTTGCTGATGAGGCTCCTGGAGTCCAGATTGATCAACCTGAAGTGCAAGCACCTACTGTAGCCTTTCACACTTCACCAGTTGAGCTCGCACAACAAGCTCGATCGGCAGCTCGATCGAGTCGAACTCTAGCTCGATCGAGTCAGACATCTTCTGTCCTCAAGCCGATTTTGCTTGATCCTTACCAGCCAGTTGATACATCATCAGGCCGCCTACTCAGTCAAAGTCATAAGGAAGTGATTCACAAGTTCAGAAGAGACCTAAGTGAGATTGGAGTTGAGTTGCCTTCTATGGAAAGCATGAGTGAGGCCTTTGAGCAAATGAAGTTGATTCAAGATGTTCTGGCTCACAAGGAAAAGGTTTCTGAGCTTCTGGAGATGTCTACTCACCAAATCAACCTGCTTACCTCACCTACTTTCTTACCAAAGGTGAAGGATCAAGGGAAATTCACTCTCCCTTGCACACTTGGGCATATTGAGCTTGACAATGCCTTGGTGGATTCTGGTGCAAGCATCAACCTCATCTCACTCACAATGGCAGAAAAGATTGGCATTGCTGGAGCATTGCAGCGCCCTACTACTTCAATCATGTTTGGAGATGCAACTTCAAGTCTCCTCTTGGTGTGTTCAAGAACTATCACTTGAAAATAGGAGAATGCATCATCCAAACTGATCTTACTGTCATGGAGATGGAAGAAGAGAAGGATCTACCTCTGCTATTGGGAACCCCATTCCTTAGCACAGTTGGCGCTTCAATAGACTTTCACAAGCAAGAAGTGATTCTTCACAAGGTGAATAGTTTGGTGTCTATCGCTTGCAGCCTAGAGGATCAGACTTTTGTGCCACAATTGAAAGCAACTCTCAGTTCCAAGCCTCATGAAGTTACAAAGGTTGTGAAGGAAAGGGTTGACAAAGAACCAAGAGTTGTGAGAGATAAGGTTGAGAAGGACAAAGGAGTTGATAAGGGACCAAGGATTGAGAAGCCACGCCTTGAGAGGCCTAGAGTTGAGAGACCACGATCTGAAGGCCACGAGCTGATAGACTTGTTCAAGCACCTTGTGTGCTTGATGAAGGAAAGCCTTCAAGCTTTGTTTGATGAGCCACTAGGAAGGCTCAAAAAGAAGGGGAGGATGCAGCCTCAAAGGCACTTGTGGGGAGAAAAGAAAGATCCCACCAGCTCAGGTTTCCTCACCAAGCCATCTCAGCTCACTATGACCTTGTTCCCCACCAAGTTTGAAAATGGGAAGATTGAGTACAAGATAAGGTACAAGGGGAGATCAAGACCATTCTCTAGAGCCAAGGCCTTGGTCACTTCAGAACAGTCCAGGGACCCAACCAAGCTAAAGGAGCTTCTATCTCAAGTCCTCACTATCACCCTTGATGGTGGGACTAGCTCAACCAATGCCTAAAAGGTAAAGGTCAAGCTATGGGACCTTAAACAAGCTCACTTGGGAGGAAGTCCCATGTCTATCCTTGTACATATTCTTTATTGCAATTTCTATCTAGTTTTGTGTCTTTAACCTTTCAATAAGTTAAGTTTAGGTGACAAAGGAGCCAGCTCGACCGACAGCTCGATCGAGCTAGAAACAAGGGTAACTCGATCGAGTTCCACAACTCGACCGAGGTAAGTTTTTGAAATTCAAAATTCTAACCGTTTCCTTGGTCAAGGGGTGGGTCCCACAAGTTAATTTTGGTCCCCCACTTCCTAAATTGATCAGAAAAACCCTTAGCTTTTGTCCCCTCTTTAATTCATCTTTTAATCCCAACCACACATCTCAAACACTCCCTCTTCCCCATAACTCGATCGCACAACCCTCTCTCTCTCCCACACTCAAAATTTTCTGAAACATTCATCTCTCTCATCTCTCAAGCAAAATCCGAAAATCCCTCATTCCCTCTTAAGTTTTTGCGATTTCTCCTTGTTCATTATCTTGAATTGCTTTAGTTCTAGCTTACTGTTCTAGTTCAATCATCATTCAAGCAAGGTATGAACCCTAAAACCCCCTGAATTCTTAAGATCGATTCCTTTCTATTGCTTGTGTTCTCTTTGATTTTGATTGCATGTGTCCCTTGTGGACTTGTTATTGAGTAATTGCCTTCATATCCTTCTCCTGCTATATAATTTTGTGAATTTGCCTCACCTCACCTCTGTTTTGCCATTAAACTTGTTGCATGTGCTTGAATCCTTTGAAATTGAGTTTGGTATTGGTTAGGATGCTATAGTCTTCACTGAATTGCTTATTGTTCCAAGTTCTTATTGTTCTTAGTTCAATTTGATTGTTCAGCATCCTATCTAGCTCTTAATACTTGATATAGATTCGGTTATACTCTGTTTTCACCTAGCTCGATCGAGTTTGTCACTCGAGTTTTTTGACTCGATCGAGCTGAGTGTCGAGTTGACCGAACCGATCATTACAACTCTAATTCTTTGTAATCTTTGATGAATTTCAGGAACCTTAGTGGAAAAACAGCATAACAAAGATGACAAACAGTGAGGGAAGCCGTGCTTCACAGAGGAGAATGGTTGAAGGGTGAATCAAGCAATGCAATGGAAAGGAGGCTAAAATTGCAAGCCGATTGGAAAGGATGAATCAAAGGATCGAAGAGTCTGAGGCAGAGGGGTATGTCTACTCCGAATTGGAGTCTGAGAGCGAGAGATTGAGGGAAGAAAGTAGGACCAAGAAGAGAAATGATCCCATTAGTAGTGACAGCGAGCAAGGAGAGTTTGAGATTGGGGTGAACATTGGACATGAAGAGAGTGATGAGTCTGAGAGTGAAGAAGAAGGAGAGGAGGTCAATCAGGAGGTTGATGAAAGTGGGCATGAGAGTAACCAAGATGAGCCCATGGAGGAGGCTGAGCCACAAGAAGAGGAGGATGAGCTCCTGATGATAAGATTTGTGTATGGGTGTGAAAGATATGAATGAATGTGGTGGAATGCAACAGTGGTATAGATGAGGTGGTAAGATGCAAACACAAACACAGTCAACAATTCCCTTTAACCATCATAGTCATTATAGTATAAGGGTTATCAATCCAAAATGGGAAATTGTCACTCTATGAGAATATGAAACAACCAGGAAGTCAAGCAAGCAGTAATGAAGAGGTAACACTAACAACCTAATGAAACAGTAAAGCAAGCAGCTCGACCAAGGACTCGAGTCGAGTAGGAACAGAGTACCAGCTCGATCGAGTTTAGGGTCGAGTTGAGTAAAAAGCAATAAAGGCAGCGACTTTAACAAGCAAAGCGAGAATTAGGGTTCAAGACAGGGTTTTGCAATCAGGGAAGCTACACTTAATCATCTGCTCTTAAAACTCCTTGTATCAAGGCTTCTCTTGATATTGGGCTTCTCAATGCCTAGCCAACCCTTTCCCAAGGTGAAAGCTATCAACCAAGGAATGATCTCAGAAACAGGGGGTTAGCCAGTGAGAATCAAACCTTGGAGGCCATAGGATCATTGCCCAAACTAATCCATCCAACCCCTTAGACCTCATTTCGAGAGCAAGAGATATTGGAGCTCTTAGTGGATCTTTTCCAGCGATTTCCATCACTTCCATGTGGAGAATCGCCTAAGGACATACAAGCCAGGGGTAGTGGTCATGTAGCCTTAAGATTATCCAAAAGAGAGAGAATCTAGATTAAGACCATAAGCAAGAAGGATTAAGCATATGAAACCTCTAATCTATCCCATCTCAAACCCTAATGGGTAACTACTCACTACACATGAATGTAAACACAAGCAAATGCAATAAAAGAGACATCATAAGAAAGAGGAGATGAAATAAACAACTTTTATTGAAATAAGCAAGTGCAAATACAAAGAGATTATCCAGGATCTAGGATTCAAGAAGCAAGAGCTTCAAGAACACAAAGATGGGATTAGAGTCTCTAAAAAGTAAAAGACAATAAATTAAAAGAAACTAAAACAAAATAATCTAAAGCTTGGTGGTTTTTTCGTGGCTTAGAGCCTTTAAATACAAAGAGGATTAGGTTTAGGGTCAAAGGAAGTCAAGGGGGAAGCAACATTTTTCGGGTTTGACTTTGACTTCTCAGCTCGATCGAGTTGAAGCTTGGCCGGTCGAGGTCGAGGTGGTCGAGCTGGTCTTCAAGATGGCTTCTCCTTCTTCCTTTGCGTATCCAGTTGAGCTGCGTCCATGCCAAGTCCTCCATGCTCCTCACGTCCCATATGCTCCAGAATGCTCCAAAAGACCTATTTCAAAGGACCAAACATGCATATGTATGCAAATGCAACCTAAAACTACATGAATGCATAAGAAGAGAAAAGGAACAAGATATGATGCTAATGGATGCTAAAACTATGCAAAAGATGCATAAAAGATGTACTAAAACTATGTAAAATGCAAGTACATCAACACCCCCAAACTTGAACTTTGCTTGCCCTCAAGCAAACAAATAGAACAAGAAAGAGATGAGGTTTGAAAATAAGTGATTCAACACTTAAAAACATGTCCTCAAAAGCGATTTGCTAAATGTCCAACTTAGAGATTCTAGAATGCAACAAGGTGAGAGATATTCATTAAGATTTAACCATGCTTATCAACATCAATCCCACTTCACAGTCACTCAAACAATGCATTCAAATCAGCAAATCCCTTTAACATTCATTAAGCAAAAACAGTGAACCAAAAACATGCAAGATCAATCAACTCATTTGGTTTCAAGGGTTTATGGGTTAAGAGACAAAGAGGGTCTCTTTTGTATGGTGGTTTAGTAACAGGGATCTCTCAAGAAAGTGGCTTTGCTTTGGCAGAAGGCTAAGTGTTAGAACCAAAGATGATGCAAGAACAGCAGCTCGAGCCGCCTAATCCTAACTCGATCGAGTTCAACACTTAGAGCTTTTTAGAACAAAATCCTAACTACCCTTTTTGGCATTTCGCCTTTGAAACTGAGGAGCTTTGCTCACTTTTCTTTTAAGAACTTCCTAGGGAGAGGCTTCTTGAGGTAACATCTAGCGGTTTGGGATTTTCTAAACACTTAGGGAACTTTTCTTTCCTTTTTGACACTTGAGGCTTTGCCTTCTTTTCATTCTACTTAGAACCCTTTTTACTTCCTTTTTTAACTTCCCAAACCTTTACTAGACCCTTTTTAACACTGCCAACTCCCTGGACTTAACTAAACTCTTTTTCCTTTGGATTTTCCCAACTTTTACCACTTTTCTGGTTTTTACACCCAACTCGATCGAGCTCGAGTTGGCACCCCCAAACTTAGCCTGAAAACAATCCCAAGAGAACTAGACAACTAGAACTACTGCCCCTGCCGGTTTAAACACAACACCTTATGCTAAGCAAAGCCAAGAAAGGGCACAAGAGAGGTTAATGAAATGAAAAGGCTTGTCTCAAATAAGATCAGCTATCTGGATATGTAAAGAATGGATATGTATGTGGTAGCCATGAGTTGAAATCAAATGCAAGCATTGGTAATTAAAGATCAAGTTATGGTTCAAATAGATAGGGAAATGCATCAAATCACAGCAATGGTTGAATGAGATGTGCATGCAGTGATATGATCAAGATAAACATGGTTCTTGCTGCTCAATCAATCTCACCCTAATGCACAAAAGAATCTAAAAACAGGGCACTCAAGAAATCGCAAAAGAACAAGTTTTCAAAGTCAAATCAACAATGCAAGTGAAAATGCAATCCTAAACAAGTCTAACAAATATGAATGCAAAAAGATGAAAATATTTTTGGATTTTTTGAAAATTTTATGATTTTTTTGGTTTTTCTATGCAAAAGATAATGAAAAACTAAGAACAAAGAAAACAAGGTTAAATCATCTCTTGAACCCTCCCCCAAACTTAAATCACACAGTCCCTTGTGTGAGAGAAATTTAGTGAAAGATTCAAGAGGGCAAAACCAAGAAAAAAAAAACAAATGCAAGAAAATATGAAATGGTATATACAAGGGTTGGTGTTTGGATACCTCAGTGCCCCCCAAAGAACTGGGAGGCAAGGTCGTGGTCTGGAGAGGGAGACGGCCATCAGGAGCACTCCACTGCCACTTCTCACTCGATCGAGCTTGCTCTCCTCTTCTCCTCTTCTTCATCTGAAGTGTGTGTGGCTCCCTTGGCCTTGGTGGAGCTGGCTTGCTCGAAGTGTTGTAGGGGTCCATCTCTGAGGAAGTCCTGGTAAGGCTGGATCGTACTCAAATCCAGGGTCTCAAACTGCTCCTCCCAACTCGACCGTCAGCTCGATCGAGTTGAGTTTCCTCTGTTTGGACTCGATCGAGTCCGGTGGTCGAGCTGGAGCGTCTGGCCTTGGAACTCTTCCTCCTTCTCTGCGTGTTGTCTCTCCTTCCCTTGGCTCGAAAGAAGAGGCTCTGTGAGGCTCTTGGGCAGGGAGCCTCCTTGGAGTGGTGAGGAAGTGATCTACTCCTAGGGAATGTGGGGGCCTTGGACTTCTTCTTCTTGATGAAGAACCAGAAACCTTCTTCTCCAAACTCTTGATCTTGCTCACCATCTTGTCCATGGACTTTTGCATCTTTCCATGGCTTTCCCTTGCCATTTGTTGAACTTTTGGAGAAGTCCAATCCTCTTGTGGCAGCCACAACAGAGGGGTTCATCCTTGGAGCCTCATACTCCTCAAAGTAGTAGCACTCAGGCTCACCCAAATCCGCATTCCTGGCTCGATCCTCAGCTGACTCAGCTCGATCCTCAGCTCGATCGAGCTCAGGCTCCTCTTCTCGCAAATCATCCTCATGCCCAACTAATGTGTACACAGGGGGTCTGAAGTCAATGTTCTCACCCCTTACTACTGTGGTGAGCTCTGGGTTGGGCAGGAGAACTTGGAAGGGTCCAGCCAATGGATGTGTGAACTTGAATTGGAACCTCCCATCCAACTCCTTGTGCTCAATGAGGTTGGTCTTGCAAAACTTGATGTCCATCCAACCTGGTTCAGTGGCTCTCCTATCAGTTGGGTTCACTCCAGCAGCACACAAGATAGGAGTGATGAGCCCTCCAACACTTAGCTTCCTCCCTTGTTGATGTCTAGTGTTGTAGGCGTGGTCTTGTAGGTGAGGAGATGTCAAGGAAGGCATCAAGTTCCTGTGTTGATCTATCTCCCCTGATCCTCTTGCCATCGCTTGTGCGTGAGAGAATGGGCTTGATTCCCATGTCAAGAAACTTGAGTTCCCCCTCGTTGATTGTCCCGGTGCCTTCCTTGCAAAGAAGGTGTTGGCAAGTGCCTTGTGCACATACCTCAAGACTGGGCTCCTGATTGAGCTGCCTTGGACCTTGAGGAAGAGTACTCCATCAGCGATTGTAGCCCAAACCCTTTGGAGTTCCTTTTCCTTGAAGTTCCACTTGGTCCCTCTCCATAGTTGAACCCAAACAAGATCTCCAAGCTGCCTAAAGGTCACCATTCTCTTCTCTCCCTTAGCCAAGAACGTGATCCATCCCAATCCTTGGTCCAAATCAGCTCTATCTTCCTCTTCTACATGTGGTACCTCATTGAAGCTAAGAACTCGCAAGTGAGCTCCTTGTAGGATTCCATGTGATAAGAGAAGAAGCTTGGCCAAGTGCATGTTCTTGAGAATTAGCTCCACATCCTCAAAGATTCCAAGGGCCTTCATTGTGTCAACATGTGGGTACTTGGTGTCCAAAGTCCATGGAGAAGAGCATTGTAGTGCTCTTGGTACATGGGGAGTTCTTTCCTCCTCTTGCGGCTGCTCTTGTGGCTCAACCTTCCTCCATAGGTTCATCTTGGTTCCCCTCTCATCTTCATCCAATTAACCTCCTTCTTCCTCTTCACTCCCTTCTTCACTTGGAGACCATTTCCCTCCTCTTGAACAAGGTTCACTCCAATCTCAAACTCCCCTTGCTCACTCTCACTACTAATAGGGTCATTCCTCTTCTTGGTTCTCCTTTCTTCCCTCAATCTCTCACTCTCAGACTCCTCCTCAGAGTATACATATCCTCTGCATCAGATTCTTCCATCCTCTGATCCATCCTCTTCAAATCGGCTTGCATCTTAAGCCTTCTTTCCCTTGCATTGCTTGATTCACCCATTCTCCTCAACCATTCCCTCACTGTTTGTCATCCTTGTTACACTGTTTCTTCACTAAAGTACCTGAAATCATCAAAGATTACAAGAATTAGAGTTGTAATGATCGGTTTGGTCAACTCGACACTCAGCTCGATCGAGTCAAAAAACTCGAGTGACAAACTCGATCGAGTTGGGTGAAAACAGAGTATAACCAAACCTAATTCAAGTATTAAGAGCTGGAAAGGATGCTAATCAATCAAATTGAACCAAAAACTAGTGAATGGAACAATGAGCAATTCTAGTGAAAATCATAGCACCTAACCAATTACCAAACTCAAATTCAATCTTTCAAGCACATGCAACAAGTTTAAAGGCAAAACAGAGGTGAGGTGAGGCAAACTAACAAGATTATATAGCAGGCGAAGATATGAGGGCAATTATCAAGAACAAGTCCACAAGGGACACATGCAATCAAAATCAAAGAGAAAACAAGCAATAGTTGAAATCGAGATGGATGAATCAAGGGTTTTAGGGTTCATACCTTGCTTGGATGATGAATTGAAGACAGTAACTAGAACTAAAGCAAAACAAGATGATGAACAAGAGAAATCGCAAAAACTTAAGAGAGAAAGAGAGAAATCGATTTTTTCTTGTGGTGATGAGAGAGAGAGATGATTTTCAGAAAGTTTTAAGATTGTGGGAGAGTGGAGAAGGTGGATTCGATCGAGTTATGGGGAAGAGGGGTGTTTGAGATGTGTGGTTGAGATTAAAAGATGAAATAAAGAGGGACAAAAGCTAGGGTTTTTCTGATCAAATTAGGGTAGTGGGGGACCAAAATCACTTGTGGGACCCACTCCCTTGACCAAGAAAACGGTTGAATTTGAAATTCAAAAACTTACCTTGGTCGAGTTGTGAACTCGATCGAGTTGCCTGGTTTCTAGCTCGATCGAGCTGTCGGTCGAGCTGGCTCCTTGTCACCTAAACTTAACTTATTCAAAGGTTAAAACACAAAGATAGATAGAAATTGCATAAATAGAGTATGTACAAGGATAAACATGGGACTTCCTCCCAAGTGAGCTTGTTTAAGGTCCCATAGCTTGACCTTTTTTTAGGCATTGGTTGAGCTAGTCCCACCATCAAGGGTGATAGTGAGGACTTGAGACAGAAGCTCCTTTAGCTTGGTTGGGTCCCTGGACTGTTCTGAAGTCACCAAGGCTTGGCTCTAGAGAATGGCCTTGATCTCCCCTTGTACCTTATCTTGTACTCAATCTTCCCATTTTCAAACTTGGTGGGGAACAAGGTCATTGTGAGCTGAGATGGCTTGACTGAAGGGGCCTGAGCTGGTGGATCTTTCTTTTTCTCACCTGGTCTTGCCTTAGAGGCTGCATCCTCCCCTTCTTTTAGAGCCCTTCCTAGTGGCTCATCAAACAAAGCTTGAAGGCTCTCTTCATCAAGACACAAGGGGCTTAACAAGTCTATCAGCTCGTGGCCTATCAGAACGTGGTTTCTCAACTCTAGACCTGGTCCTGAGGGTTTGCAACATCAGTGTTTCGGTATGACATGGCTGGGTTGGGCTTGTAATTATAGTATCCTTTGTTGTAACCTCTCTGCCTATTGCTCATGTAGCACACTTCAGCAAATTGTGTATCCTCCCCTTCTTGGACTGGTTCCATCTCTTCAGCAGACACAAAATTGACTTTCTTCATTGTGGACTGAGCTAAGATAAGCTTATCCAACATCTTTTCTCAACTTCTCATCGATCCTGCTCTTAAAACTCCTTGTATCAAGGCTTCTCTTGATATTGGGCTTCTCAATGCCTAGCCAACCCTTTCCCAAGGTGGAGGCTATCAACCAAGGAATGATCTCAGAAACAGGGGGTTAGCCAGTGAGAATCAAACCTTGGAGGCTATAGGATCATTGCCCAAACTAATCCATCCAACCCCTTAGACCTCTATTTCTAGAGCAAGAGATATTGGAGCTCTTAGTGGATCTTTTCCAGCGAATGCCATCACTTTCGTGTGGGGAGTCGCCTAAGGACTTACAAGCCAGGGGTAGTGGTCATGTAGCCTTAAGATCTATCCAAAAGAGAGAGAATCTAGATTAAGACCATAAGCTAGAAGGATTAAGCATATGAAACCTCTAATCTATCCCATCTCAAACCCTAATGGGTAACTACTCACTACACATGAATGTAAACACAAGCAAATGCAATAAAAGAGACATCATAAGAAAGAGGAGATGAAATTAAACAACTTTTATTGAAATAAGCAAGTGCAAATACAAAGAGATTATCCAGGATCTAGGATTCAAGAAGCAAGAGCTTCAAGAACACAAAGATGGGATTAGAGCTCTAAAAAGTAAAAGACAATAAATTAAAAGAAACTAAAACAAAAGTAATCTAAAGCTTGGTGGTTTTTTCGTGGCTTAGAGCCTTTAAATACAAGAGGATTAGGTTTAGGGTCAAAGGAAGTCAAGGGGGAAGCAACATTTTTCGGGTTTGACTTTGACTTCCAGCTCGATCGAGTTGAAGCTTGGCCGGTCGAGTTGAGGAACTCGACCGGTTGGTCGAGTAGACGGTCGAGCTGGTCTTCAAGATGGCTTCTCCCTTCTTCCTTTGCGTATCCAGTTGAGCTGCGTCCATGTGCCAAGTCCCTCCATGCTCCTTATGTCCCATATGCTCCAGAATGCTCCAAAAGACCTATTTCAAAGGCCAAACATGCATATGTATGCAAATGCAACCTAAAACTAACATGAATGCATAAGAAGAGAAAAGGAACAAGATATGATGCAAATGGAAGCTAAAACTATGCAAAAGATGCATAAAAGATGTGCTAAAACTATGTAAAATGCAAGTACATCAGGGTCGATCTATGTTCCACCACCACGCCCAAGCTATTCACAACACCATCCATCATCACCAGACATAAACAAGACACCACTTTTCCCAAGGGAGAGCTATCAAGCTGCGCGCCAAACCAAGATTGAAAGATGCTTCAAGAGTACTTGAGAAATCAAGAAGAGAGTACAAAGAAGATGGAGAAGAATCGATTTCATCCATGAGAGCCTTGGAAACAAATCTGAAGTCCTATTCAAGCAAGTGATCAAGCTTGATGAAGACATTAAGAAGTTAAGAGAGGATCATGATCGATCTTTGACCCTAGTTAAGCTTGATGTTGCTTCCAAATATCAAGAGTTGCTGAACAAGAGCATGAGAATTGAAGATACTAGCTATGGCAATAGCAACATCTTGGATCAATCTACAACCGCCTACAAGCCCTTGAAGGATCATCTCATGCCAATTACAAGAGAGAGAGGAGTCCAACACCCAACCACCCTCCCTTTTATTGCAATGCCATCACAAGAAGAAGCACTACTCAAGTCCATGAGGACAATGAAGAAGAAGAAAGAGAGTATGAGGAACAATTGAATGATGAAGATGAAGAGCAGAGCATCGACATCAATGCTTCCCCAAAACAGAGCATGGATACACCAAGCCCTAGAGACCCTCGTTTCTCACCAAGAAGTCAAGCTTCTACACTTCCAAGATTGGAAGCAATGCAAAGACCATCACCACCTACTGAAGAAGAAGATACTTGGCATATGATCCCATTGATCCCAACAAGATAAGCCCCATGAAGCTTAAAGAGTTCAATGCTAAGGTGAAATCACTTCCATTCTATGTCACTTTTGAAGAAGCTTGGGATAAACATGGTCTAGTGGAGTTCTTTTTCACAACTAGTGAAAACAAAGAAGAGATACACCAACTTTTCAGGAAGGCACGATTTCCCTTGCCCCTCATGCAGTCAATCAACCATCATCACCACCATCACACCACCACCAAGTGGTATGTCAATTCCATATCAAGAGAGAAGCTTGCTGAGTTCAATCAGTTTGTCCAAACTCTTCCAGCCAGCATGTCTTCCAAACAAGCTTGGCGCCACTACCCATTCACCACCTTTCTTCCACAACTGCAAGAGAGACACCTGAGGACATAAGAGCTTTTTGAGAAAGCTAAAGTTCAGCCTACCTTCAAGACCCTCTACAAGATTGAAGACCCAGGTCAATTCTCTATTCCCTGTCAAGTAAATGGTCATTACTTTGATAGAACACTATGCGATTCTGGCTCTTGCATAAACCTCATGCCAACCCAAACCGCCAAACTCCTTGGCATCACACGCTTGCAACCTGCTCAAATTAGTATTGGACTTGCTAACCATACTATAGCCAAGCCAAGAGGAGTTGTTGTTGATGTTCTTCTAGAGATTGGAGATATCAAGATCCCGGTGGACTTTCATGTCATAAACATTCAAGGAGGATGTGACACACCATTGATACTAGGCCGACCCTTTTTGGCCACTGCTGGAGCTGTCATGGACCTTCCAAACCGGCGAATGTCCTTAGCCAATGTGACAAGACAGTCTTTTACAAGACCATACCATTCATCTCACCAAACAAGCTGTCTTACCTCATCACTGCCCAAGGCCGCCCAAGAGAGCCACCAGACCACACTCAAGGTCACAATGAGACAAGAACTAAAAGACTATGTCTCAGGCCGTGCCCTTACCCCATCTCCAACTAAGAGATCCTATCAGTCAAGCTAATGACTCAAAAGAAGCGCTGCATGGGAGGCAACCCATGAAAGGTGTTTTTCTTTACTTTTCTTTTCAATTAGTTTTAGTTAATGTCTAGTTTTGTTTTGAGTTTTGGATACAGGAATCTAAGAACCACACAATGGTAAAGAAGATATACCACAAGAAGAATGTTCATAGTTGGCGCGACTTGATGGCCGAGCAGAACCTCTCCACGCTCGCCCATGTCCTCTCAAGCCGCCCAACACACCATCCCATCTCATTCCATCTGCATCTCACCCATCCCACCTCACCACACTTGCATTCCATCACTACCATCATTCCACTGCATTCACCATTCTTCAAGTAACACAAAATCAGGTTACATCTTTCTTTTTACATTCACAACCACTTTATTACCTCTTTCTTTAACTCCCTTAATTGGATTTTCTTTCACCGGGACGGTGCAAGTTAAGTCTGGGGGGATTGTCATGAGGACAAACATGAGTGAAACGGTCTCAATCCAAGGGAGGAACATAAATGGACCTAATTTGGGAACCGGAAGAGGTAAGGAGTCCGAAATGTACCTCTGTGCATCCACATTGTGGAAACTCACTTGTAGTGTATAAGATGAACTAGATGGACCCATACTTATCCAATCATGATTAATAGGTTCTACACATGACTATGAGGACAAAAATGAGTGAAACGGTCTCAATCCAAGGGAGGAACATCAAATGGACCTAATTTTGGAACCGGAAGAGGTAAGGAGTCAGGAATGTACCTCTGTGACTCCACATTGTGGAAACTCACTTGTAGTGTATAAGATGAACTAGGTGGACCCATGCTAATCTAAACATGGATTAATAGGTTCTACAAATGACTATGAGGACATGGATGAGTGAAACGGTCTCAATCCAAGGGAAGGACATCAAATGGACCTAATTTGGGAACCGGAAGAGGTAAGGAGTCGAAATGTACCTCTGTGAGTCCACATTGTGGAAACTCACTTGTAGTGTATAAGATGAACTAGATGGACCCATACTTATCAAACATGGATTAATAAGCTTCTACACATGACTATGAGGACAAACATGAGTGAAACGGTCTCAATCCAAGGGAGGAACATCAAATGGACCTAATTTGGAACCGGAATAGGTAAGGAGTCCGAAATGTACCTCTGTGACTCCACATTGTGAAAACTAACTTGTAGTTTATCATATGAACCATATGGACCTATACTTACCCAAACATGGATTAATAGGTTCTATTCATGACTATGAGGAGAAACATGAGTGAAACGGTCTCAATCCAAGGGA